TCCTACAGCAGATTGTGTTGCTGCCTTCCCTGCGTCTCTTCTGGGCAATCTGCGATGTCCCCCACATGTCTTTCTCTTTTATTGCACGTTGATTCTTGAGAGCATGCTTTCTTTATTTTCAAAAAAGAGAAAAACATTTTGCAGCTGTATTTTTAAACAGCGTATTGTTTGTTTAAATTTTCAGAACATGTTCTACTCGCTGCTGAAATGTACCTTAAAACACGGACAGTATGTCAAGCTTGCTTTATGTATTCAGTGCAAGAGGGGATTTAAATTAGCTTCTCCTTTAGGAGAGACTATTTCTCTTAATGACTTCTCACCGCAGGATCACAACTAGAATTTGGGTTGTAAAGCTAAGCCTGCTGCAGGTATGCAATGTCTGTGCTGTATTAATATGGCCCTGCCTCCAGCAGGGATAGGAACTCATGGATGACAGGTTTTCATATAAACAGATATTTGATTTTCTGATTCAAAGTCCTTCCTTGTTTCCTGTGGGAAACCAGGTGGGCTGAGTTAGCAATTAGCTGCAAAAGTTGAGCTAACTGCCCTGCAATGCCAGGCAAGGCTTGTAAGGAAAAGCTGAGCATGTGGCAATAAGGCAGGAAAGGGACTGGTTAGAAATGTTCTCCAGAGTGTGAGAAAACGTTGGGAACTATTTTTGTGCCATGCCTGAATAACGGGGGTTTACCAGACTGCTTCTTGCTGGGGAACCTGAATAGTGAATTTGTTTTGCTTCTGCCTCCCGTGTGGTGTGTAAAATGTGCTGATAATTTTTTTCTCTGACAGATTTTATTCCCCTTGGAGAGAAAAACACCTTTTCCCATTTGTAATGGAAAAGTGGCATGCCTACCAGGGCGTGTGAGTGCAAGGTGGACCTAATCTTTCCTTTGCACATAGATAAGAGCAGGGGGACACATGTCCAAGGCTGCCTTTTTTGAGGGACAAATACACAGCAGAGATGCCTAGAGATGGTGATGACGACCGTGGCTGAGGAACCTGCAGAGAAGACTACATACTCCTACAAACCATGCCCAGCCCTGCCTCTGCTGACAGCAGAGGTGAATAAATGCTCATTGAACTTGGCAGAAGAAGGATCGGATTAATAACTCTCTCTGGCATGAGCAACAAAGAGACTGATATAGGATTGAAATCAAAACCTTAATAATTTCTCAGGACTGGAACTTGCAAATGCATTGGTTATCTCTGTCTCCAGAACAGAAGGCTGGTATTTTGCAGGCCACGCCAATTTTGCTCTTCAGACACAGAATGATAAAATGGAGTTTTACGGAGGCAAATGTTTACAACCCTAAACACAACCCAGCTTCCACCCATCTACACCAGAAGCTCCAGCACTGATCACAAATGCACAGCAGTGAGACAAAGTGCCAGCGCTTTAAGAGGCTGTATAATTCACAGAAGGCACCTGACTCAGAAACAGGGTGACAGCTTCCATTTTCTGTCAAGGCAGTTAAGGCCAGCCTGAGCCTTTTAGATGGACCAGTGCTCTCTGCTTTCTGCCAGCTGCTCGGTATGAGCACTAATGCTCTTTTCCAACTCGGATTACTCATACAGCTGATGAGTCTGGACTTTTGCTAAGTGTCTTTTTCTTCTCGTAGGTCTCTCCATGACTACTTCTATGCTATTACTGAGTCTTCTTGCCATGTGTGGGTCGGAACAACAAGAGATTTTCTATTTAATCCCTTCTTTCACTTATTTAGTGGCTTGGATGAACAATCTCAGTGCAATGTGAGTGCAGTAGGAACATCCATGCCTGAGTCCCCAGCCAAATTTCTTAAGAAGGAATGAACAGTTCATGTCTTTGTCAGTGACATGGTCAGTGGGATCGAGTGTACCCTCAGCAAGTCTGCTGATGACACCAAGTTGTGTGGTGGTGTGGACACGCTGGAGGGAAGGGATGCCATCCAGAGGGACCTTGACAGGCTGGAGAGATGGGCCTGTGAGAACCTCATGAAGTTCAACAAGGCCAAGTGCAAGGTCCTGCACGTGGGTCGGGGCAACCCCAAGCACAAGTAGAGGCTGGGCGGAGAATGGATTGAGAGCAGCCCTGAGGAAAAGGACTTGGAGGTGTTTATTGACGAGAGAAGCTCAACATGAGTCGGCAATGTGCGCTGGCAGCCCAGAAGGCCAACTGTATCCTGGGCGACATACAAAAAAGCGTGGCCAGCAGGTCAAGGGAGGTGATACTGCCCCTCTACCCTGCTCTTGTGAGAACCCACCTGGAATACTGCATTCAGCTCTGAGGTCCCCAACATAAGAAGGACATGGACCTATGGAAGGCCACAAAGATGATCAGAGGGCTGGAGCACCTGTCTGTCCTGTGAAGACATGCTGAGAAAGTTGGAGCTCTTCAGCCTGGAGAAGAGAAGGCTCCAGGGAGACCTTCTAGCAGCCTTGCAGTACATAAAGGGGGCCTACAGGAAAGCTGGAGAGGGACTTTTGACAAGGGCATGTAGTGATAGGACAAGGGGCAATGGCTTTAAACTGAAAGAGGGGAAATTTAGATTAGATATAAGGAAGAAATTTTTTACATTGAGGGTGGTGAGGCACTGGAACAGGTTGCCCAGAGAAGTCGTGGATGCTGCATCCCTGGAGGTGTTCAAGGCCAGGCTGGATGAGGGTTTGAGCAACTTGGTGTAGTGGAGGATTTCTCTGCCCATGGCAGGGGGGTTGGAACCAGATGATCTTGAAGGTGCCTTCCAACCCAAACCATTCTATGATTCTAAGTCCCTCTTGGATGCTATGCATTCTGAATCTCTGGCAGCCAAAATGCGATGGCTTCCGGAGGAATGGGAGGCTTACTCAACCCTAGTGTGTTAGGACAAGCTCCTGGAATGTGGTGGAGATGTGCATGAGTCACATCATGCTTCGAGGCAAGGAAACCTAGTATTTTAGCCTTACAAATTTTTTGCATTTCTGCTACTTCCACTATCACCCAAGGGACATTTTGGGTACCAATCTCTTGCAGTAATTCTGGGCTCTAAATTTCAGCCTTGCACACCAACAATCAAGTCCATCAGAAAGGGGGAAGGAGGTTTTCAGTGCCTGTTTTCTGCATGGTGCTTCCTCCTGGTGTGGCAGGTGGAGTTTGTGAACCCCATTTCTAGGTAGTAAGCTCTTTGCCTGGCTTCCATCTCATCTGTTTTTTGCCCTCAGATGTTTGCTTGCAGGCCAGGTTGCCAAACACTAAGTACCTGAGATCTTTTTAGAAATGTGACTGATTTAGGTACTTCTGAAGATGTTACTTTCATGGTCGCACATTTTAACAAAACTCTGTAATTTCACAAATTAAAGTAGTTCTCATAGAATCTGAAATCAGACACATAACCAGCATAGTAAAGACAAGGTGAGAGAAGGAACCACAACCTAGCCTTGATAAGTAAATGGTGTTTTTCTTTAAAGTCTGTCCCATATCGGTTGATATTATACCTATATGAGCATGAATCCTAAGATCACAACCCTCCACTGACCTAACTGTGCTAACCTTTGTGTGAAACCTGGCAACTATGCACCTGGGCAATTCTCAGGGAATCAAAAGCTAACATGCTCTTTCCTTCTGAGTCATCCCTGACTCCCCGATATGGTAGTCAAGCATTCCCCACTGGACTTACATGAGACCTGTGTTCTCACAGATCTCCTCCAGCCTTGAGGTGGCTGCTTATCTTGAGACATCGAGGCCATGGTCCCACCAGAGGGGATAGGCATTGGTTGTCCTCAGCACTTGGCAGTTTCTGGTGCTGGCTATGAAAAGGGTTTCCATGTCCATGTCTGCCTGTGCAGTCATCCATGTTCCAGTATGTGCAATGAACTTCCAGGAAGGCAATGCAGTTTGACAGAAAACTGATGCCTACCCTGCAAAACTACCTAACTAGGTAGGTAGGGTTAACAGGCACTCCTGCCAAACACAGAGAAAGCAGGACATACAAGAACAAGTAAAAAAACAGAAGACTGATTTCCAGCCACTGGTTATTTTGTGTCTGATGAGTTTGCTGTTGGACGATCAATGAAAAGCTAATACAGCGGAGATACAAGGTGAAGGACAGAGGCTTGGCGATGGGGAAGCCAGAATGAAACAAGGCTGCTCTCCAGCTACTTCAAAGAAATCACTAATTACTGGCAGTAAAAGAGCACTATAACAGCAGCGCTCCAATGACACCCTTTACAAGGCATTTGCAAGTATTTGAAATAAGTTGTTTAGCTTTCATTTCACTTGGCTGTTCTACTTTTTACCATTGTGATACACTGAAATACTCACACTCATGGTGTGTCATCCTCCTTCCCACAAAATAGTTATGGGTGACTGAGCACACTGTGAGTACAGGTGTGATGGCTTGCAGAGTCAACAGGTGATCATAAGCAACAGCAGCAGAGCTGGCACAGTCTGGGGAGAAAAGCCTTAACCAAATCCCAGTTCCTGTTGGCTTTTCACTAATCTTCCAGACTCTTCCCAGAAGA